CCAGCCGTTTTGACTTTAAAACATGATATCTTCTACCAGAAAAGTGATCTTTTTAAAATTGCGATCAATTAATATAAGGAAAGAAAGTCATTTTAGAAAATATTTGATGGATTTTTTTGGACAGATGACAAAATTATTTAAGTTAACACTTTTTTACGTTCTCTTCAGAGCGTCATCATCTTTGTTTAAAATTAAAAATCAAAAGTCACAAATGTCACTAAGCCTGTTTTTGGAGACAAAATTATGTCTAAGACACTTTCTAAGTCTCAAATTATAAGTCACAATCATTTCTAAGTCTCATTTTTCTCGTTCAATTTTGTATAAGAGTTCCTCTCTTTCCAAAACTTGCCCTTTCTAAGGTTTTCTTAAAAGCATCAAAAATGATTTTTGACCAGAAAAATGAAGGATTTCTTTTATCTTATTTTACAAATAATAGGGAAATATTTGTTGTGTTAAATCCAACTGAAAGCAATTTGACTAGAAAGTTAGAATTTTCTCAAAAAAGAGTGAGTAAGGCATTAAATTTAATTTGCTTTTTGCTTTTGATGCTTTCAAATGTTGTTTTTGATGTTTTTTTTTCAAATTACACTTTTGATGCTTTACTACACGGTCAAACCATCCAAAGTGTTAAAATTGAAAGACAATTTTCTACTATAATAATGACAAATAAGAAGTTTTAATTGAGAGAAAAAATTTAAAGAAAAAATTCGAACAGGAGTTTCAGCTCCAGTTTTTCACTTAAATGATGATCTGTCTAAAAAAAATCCTTCAAATATTTTCTAAATAAGATATCTTTTAAGTCGCATTTTGAGTTTAAAAAAATAACTATTCTGCTAAAAAATATCACATTTTTTCTAGCTGTAAAACTAATCCTAAACGATGACGTTCTGAAGATAAAAATTGGATTTGAAATGATTATCCGTCTAATAAAATCAATCAATTATTTTCGAAAATGGCGTTCTTTCTTTATATTAAGATCGCATTTTAATTTTAAACAAAGTTTTTAAGCAGATGATGACGTTCTGAAGAGAACGTAAAAACTGATTACTTAAATGATTTTGTCATCTGTC